GGAAACGTGGAGATTTTGGTCTGAAAAGAGGTGAATTTGGTTCGAAAAACAGTGAATTTAATGGTATACTGGTATATTACAGGGTAAAGCTACAAATAATAACTAAGATTACTCACGGTTGCGAATTTCCTCATTGTCTAGCATGACGCCTTCCTCAACCAGCTCTTCTGCTGGCAAGCACTTAGAACCAGGAATGTGTGTTCCGACAACATCTGGGTAGTAATTGGAAGAAATAAAGCCATCCAATCTCAAAACCCAAAAATCACATACTATAAACTCACTTGGTGGGCAGTCAGTAGGAATAGTACCCTCAAACTGCCCTCGTACTCTTGCATCGAGCAGATTTATCTGAAAAGGATTCCCTCTACGGTAGCACTAGTGCAATTATGGGAATATCTGACATAGCCGGCCACCTCACATCATCCGTCCACTCGATGTACTTTTTGTCACCATGTTGTTCCTCCAGCTGTTCGAACTTGATGTTGTACTTGGCCATGTTATCACTGGCCTTCCACGTTCCACGCTGAACAAATGAGCATTGACACTCGCAGTCGCGGACAACTTCAGAAGCCCCAGATTTCATATAAATTCCAAACTTGAGCGTGAAACGTAAAACATGGGCCCCGAAAGTAAAAGCGTGGCTGAGTTGATGTGCAGCTTAGGGTTCAGGTTTCCACGACTTGGCGTGAAATCGCTCGACTTGTAGAAGGAAAGGACTTGGAGCACTTCAAACGGACCGGCTTTTTTCAGTTGTATTCAATCTGAGAAAACAAAGCACCTATGTGCAGAAGAAAAAGCTCGAAAAAAAATTATAGTTGAGCGTGTGAGGGGGAGGGCGTGAAGCGAGCACATCCACGGCCTGGGTATGTGGCAAGAGAATCGTAATTCGCCGCGCCAGTGGGCGTCGCGTGCGACGTCGCGCCCGCTAATGACGACGATTTTAGGTGGTATTGGTCGAGAATAGACAATGTATGACCAAAAATAGACATAGTGTCTACCATGTCTACTTGAAATCCTATGTTCCCTTCGGAAGTAGCGCAAATTAAGAAAACGTCGCGCCCATTGCCGCGCGCGGCGAAGCGGCAAGTTCACGATTCTCCTGTCCGTCTCCCCCACGGCGTTCTTTGCCACTAGCTATTTTCTTCTCGACTTTTGTCAAAGAACGCAGCGGCGGAAGGGCTCATCCCACGCCTCTTGGTACCGCTCCGCCGGATGGCGACGATGTGAACTTTTACTAAAAGAGCAGGTACAAGCAAGAAGGAAGTTTGTGCCGTTGATCAATACTTTTTGAGTAACAATATGGAATCCACTTTTACTCGAAATCTTAGTGGCATTTTGAATGCAATCTCATCTAAGCACTGGTTTACAGCGGCCAGCCAATGTTCAAGTCAATGCTTAATCCTAGTCGAGTCCGGTGCCAGTTGACCGGCCTCTGATTAAGAGAAAGCTTGGCTGATCGGGCTAGGCTCCATTTAAAGTCTGACCTCGGGACCGCTCCATACAGAAATGGGGCTACCTGACACTACACCACTCCTGCCCCTCCAAGCCCGAATACACCAGTGGACCGCTCAACGTGTCCAATGTAGTAATGGATTTGATTGAGGTGGATCAGCGACTTAATTACTAGGTGAAAGCAAGAGAGGTTTGTTTATTCATCAACTGACCTGCAATTTAACGTCGTCTTTACTGATTTCGTGTCCTCTTTTCACCCATTCATCAAATCCACCGTCAACAAGCGATATCTTTTCATGACCGTAGGACTGAAGCGAAACGTATTCATACCTATAACTTTGATGTAAGATGGCTTTCAATATTTGAAAAAACCTTGAACAGCCAGGCAAATTTTGAAGCGTGGAGCATTCCACCAAATTTTTCTCGAGCGTACAGTATTAGATGTTCGCCAGCATCAATGCCAAGTATCTTGAATATCTTGAATAGAACATCTACAGTTCTGAGGACATCAAATCCTTCAGACATGCACCTGCCATACTCCTGAAACTTCCGAGGATAAAGAGCATATGTTCATGGGGAGTCGCTGGAGGATATAATGGTAGCAGTCGTCATGCATATATGGGGCGTTTGGAAGTTCGGCAAAGACATCTGCTTCGATCTGAAAATATAACGACAGATGATCTAGATGACACGAGGCGGCAGTAAATCATGGCTAAAGGGCAAAGCAACTGAAAGCAGTTTGTTCTGCCCTCTTGTCAATCTGCCATGAGGCCATTTTACGTAGTGACATACCAGTCTCCACGCGAGCAGTGATTAGGCCGTAAGGGTCCACCAGCTGCCGCGCACCACGAAACCGCGTCATCAGCCAGTTTCCACCCAAATTGGCCACTTCTCCCAACTAGTTTCACTCTCCTTTTTTTCTGACTTTGAAGTGAGTTGTTTTATTGTCCTTGGAATACATGATGCGTAGAGTCTTTTTTGTTTGAACATACGATATTTGCAATAGATGTTCATTTTTCAGGTATTTGTTCGAGTGCTGCAACTATTTATGTAAAATTGAGGAATCTCAACTATAATTCACCTTGGGATGACAATGAACGCGATTCGAGAAAAAACAGCATAATATTGCAAACTATGAAAAGGCTGAGATGGCTGGAAAACAGCTATCGCCGCCCTTGTGACACGTCCGCAGCAGCGTCGCAAGCCGACTTGCCGCCACTAAATCAAGTGCTCCCGAATGATACTGCTATAATTGTCCGCAATGGTTTGATACCCATTTCGACCGCGGCCATCGGAATCTGAACACGCCTCCTATACTGTTTGGTGACAATCACCAGATTTTTGATTTCTCCTTTCAAACATCATACCCATTCTCTTATAGGAAGTATACGGCAGAACTGACTTAAAGACAGCTCCCGCGATAAAAGTCTCATGGATAGCTGCTTTCCAATTATGAAACAGTAGCTGATAAGTAATCTCCCAAAGAAGAAAACAGGCAAGAAGCGTCCTCCAGAACAACATAAACAAAATCGCTCCCTCACAGTCACACCTCCCTGCGGTCTCTGTGCAACCCCTAGCTCACAAATCTCTCTATCACATCTCACAGTAGTTGATATCATCCAGTGCAAAAAAAGAATACAAAAAGAAAACAACAAAAACGCAGAGGAAAAACTCTTGGAAGAAAAAGGAATTTTATCAACGCGGTGTCTGAATTTGGGATTACGGTAGCGCACGTTTTGTGCGTCGAGGTTGCATCACGAAAATGCGTCACTCGTGCTTTTCTACTCTGTCGTTTCACCTCGCAAATGATATTAATTGAATGTAATACTAACCCCCGCAATGAGTAAACGATTAAATGGGAGCAAAATACCATTGGCATAACAATGCCCGCTGCTCAATACGCATACTGAGTGGCCCTCCTCGGAGGACATCTAGCAAAAGCGATCCAACTGAGGGCAGCGTTGGTAACACAGGAACTACAAGCGGCTAGTCTCGCATTCTCGCTCGCTCTGGCCAGATCGCATAGAGTGGGACACGCCTAGTCCTTGGATCTGAACTTGCACAAGGAAGACGACATTACTAGTACTCGATGCGGGCTTGCCTTTATACTGCGTAATATCTTAAGAACCCTGTAAGGAGCAGGAAAAATAAGTATTCTGCTTCCCCATTTCTGTTTTCCCCCACTCATAAAGCATTTTCTGTCGATATGACTGTCTTCCTGCAGATACGCCGAGTTTCGCATTCGTTGGACGAAGGGAACTTCGAGTCGAAAAAGTTCGCCACTAAATCGCCAGTGTAAAGAGAACAGTGCTATGCAATAAATTACGTGGGGCGTTCCATGCATGACAAAGCGACTCTTTTGTGATATCCGACATCATCATAACGTACTGAAAACCGATGAAAATTTATTGGTCCCGCCAGGAACATTGGCAGGTTCGTCTTATACCCCCAGAAAATAGGTAATATAGACTAATTTTATGCAAATCTCAGAGCAGGGATAACCTGATTTTGTAGCCTTTCTAAGAGTTATATCATTCAAAACATCTCTCCTAGGAATTCAAATAGGCTTTCAGGTGAAATAAAGAGCAGTTCTGGTTGGTATTACTGCTCAATATGATGATTGGTTGGCCAATCACGCGCGCGGTTCCTCACTCGAGTTTGATCAGCTCCAGACCGGGCCGGCCAACCCCCTACCAGAAAATTGGTGCAGACTCATTAGGAAGGATAACAACAATGACTAATGCATTGCTACCCCCCCCCCCAAAAGTCATGTATAGACAATATCACATCTGGAAAACCGCTACGATTGATTGGAACTGGACTGCGTGCCTCTTCTCAGAAAGCGATTACTCAGCAGGAGCTTCATCCCCTATAGTATATCGTGTATAATTGAACAACGATAGAAAAATACTAATTCGACTCGAACTGACTCACGGGCACGGCGGCAGAGCTAGCAGTTTTTCGAACTTTCCGTAGAACTCTTTTTGGAAAGTGCTTCCAGTCAGGTTTGTTGGGGACGAGACCATGATCGTAAGTGCAGTCCAATATCCTAACTCCTTCCTTGTTAATGATATTTTTCTTGAGCAGCTGTGCTACCGTACCCACATCAATTAATCGTTTGAGTGACATGCTGAAATATTATTAGAGAGTTTTTACTTTGGGAGCATACCATGCAAGTGAAAAGTGGCCGAAAATGTGGAAAGAAAACTTGAAAAATCGTCTGAACTTCGTTCTGAGGCACAACCCTCATGACATTATCAGTACGGTGATCATTTAAAAATTAAGTGTAACATGCTGACTCACTGAAATTACTGCATGACATGCGAACATATAAGTATTTTACAGAACTGTCCTGCCTACATCATAACTGTGTAATCGTACCGTGCAGGCAGCACGCTAATTTATCCGCTGGCTTTCTGTCAAATCCCCCGTCGAATTTTATTTCATAATTTCTGCTTTTGTGACTTTTTTGCGCTTTTGTCGCTCATACGCACTGAGTGAAAGGGCTGCACATCGGCGCATGGGAAGCTCCACTCTCTTTTCAAAGAATTTATGGCTGGTTTCGACTTTTCATAACTTTTTTAACGTCGTTGTTTTCTACCACTCTTCACGGTACTCATAGGCGCACACTTCACACTGTCACATTAAGCTCCGCCCCTATCCACACCCACTTTTGCGGCTTTTTGCGCAATTCTGATGTTTTTCAAAAATTTTGCGTTTCTGGATTGCTGCGCGAGGCCTTGCTCAGTAGGAGAAACTCTGCTAATTTCGTAGAACCCCCACCTACTTCTCAAAATGCCTCAGTTTGACATATTTGAGCCACCTTGCAGGTCAGAAAGTCGCTCGCCCTAGGAACGAAAAAAAAACAAAAAAAACGTTCATGGTCCTCGATTTTTTTTCTGCTCCGTGTGACGAGCGACCCTCTGAAACAAGGTGAGGCTACATACCTGTTTAGCTGACCATGAGGATTTTTTCAAAGGTGGGCGGGAGTCACGAAGTGGGCGAGGCTTCTCCTAGTAGGGGCGGGGCTTCACGTAGTAGTTGCCAAACTACAAAAATTTTGAAAAATATCAAAATCACAACAAGGCGAAAAGGGCTAGCAAGTGCTTAGGGCGGCCTAATGTGCCAGTGCATAAAATCGCGTTCTATTCTTCGAAATGACGAATTAGCCGACGCGTTGATGTATAGTCCTTTTCTATCCAATGTGCATGTGGTAAACAAAAATGTGCAAGAAGTCACACAAGCAGGTTATGAAACAAAAGTCTGAAAAATCACGATACGCTGAAATGTGGGCTTGGCTATAGGGGTAGGGCTTGGAGAAATGTCTTGTGAGGAATGGGTAACTAAGTCGTGATTTTGGTTTGAAAATTCGTGAATCAGGTTTGAAGGGTGGTGAATCTGAAGTGGAAAATGGTTTATACCTACACGGCTCACAATCTCGCATGCCAGGTTTGACAGGAAAAAGTACAATGATATGGCACATATGGTACGATATCTAGTGCTGTCGACGGATGCACGCATATAATCATTGCACGATGGTCCTTCCTCGTACCAAAAGCCGCCGTGATGAAAGAGCTATTACACATGTCCATGCTCACCATACTTTTGACACCATTTGGCCTCCTGTTACAGGAAAAACTTCTCCCGATGAATGGCATAAGTTGGGCCAGCCTGACAAAGCGCATGGAGTGGCTGCGGCTAAGCTTTTTCTCTTCTGTTTACATTAGAAGGACTTCTCAGCGAGTGAATGGCGTGGAGAGTTGTGCCCCAAGTACGTGGTTCATAAGCATAACCTCCACGGTATCCCTCAAGAAGCATAACCTCCACAGTATCACTCAAGACAAAAAGTGCCAGCAAAGTAAAAGCAGACAACCATCCCCTTACCTATTCCCCCTACGTCACGGGTTCCTCTCAAGAACCTTCGAAAATACAGTAACCTAATCGTATAAACACATGGTGCACTTATACGCTTTTGATTTTTTGAATGTTTCCTCCTCTCCATTAATTTTATGAGAACACAAAAAGCAGCACCGTAATATGGAGAAATTAGCGCTGAATAGCTCCCTCGTGATCAAGAACGCGAGAGGTGAAAATCGTGGAAGTAGGCTTCTCTTTCAGTGCTTATTGGGCGAAGTGTATGTAGAAGCTCCAAAGCAGAGCAAGCAAGTGTCTACAGGAAAGCTTGAGAAAAGAAGAGATAGAAAGATAAAGTTTGAATTCTGTATGTTGGCGAGAAACGGAGCAGAACTGAATCGGTCTACAGTCAGGGAACATCATCATTGGGAATTCCCCAAT